CAATGGAACCATTAGATCCTGGCCGTGAAAGCCTTCATGAATACATCAATTCTATTTTATTATTTGTATCCCTTGTGTTTTAACTATGTCATAAATTGCTTTCAGTACTATAACTGGAAGAAAAATGGCGTGTCAGTCAATCGGTCGGTCGAATTCTGCCTGTGGCACTATTTATTTGTTCAGAAAGTCCAGGCAATGAAAAAAAAATGGTTATCCCGTCACTTTCCTCAGCCTCTTGCGTGTCTATCAGTCACAATTCAAAACCTGCAATGTTACTGGTAAGAGTAATTAGGAACAGCTAATAATTCAAAGCCTTTTAAAAAGTAATTGGTGTTGTTGCTCCAGTTCAGAAAGCGAAGAAGACTTTTACTGCGCCAGCACCCACTCGCCTTGGGATCCATGGCGCTCGTTATTGCAGCGCTTCGTTCCTCCTGCTGGCGCTCTTCCCACTTCCCTGTGCCCAAGGAAGTCTGGGACCTATGAAGGCTGGTTACTTTGGATCGGAGTCCAAACTTTACAGGAACTATCCAAGGTGCAGAACCCCACCCTCAAAAGCAGTTTAGCAATTAGGAAAGCTCCTGTAAAGTTCAGACTAAAACTCAGAGCGGTTGTACTGCCTCCACTGAATTATAGAGCCACCAACTTCTACTGTCTGGGACTAACTGTGCTGGAAAATAAAAACAACCAACTTGGGTTACTTTGAAAACAGTTCCAGTCAGGTACGCCTCTGACTTATCACACATGCGGTGTTTTGTCACTGGGCTTGCAGGTTTTTGGTGGAGGGAAATGAGAGATGATCTTTGGCAGCAGCATGAAGATTTGACTAGTAAATCATAGCTTTTTACTTCCTGGATTACCAGCTGACAACAAAGTATGGTGAATACCTTGGTGGCAAATCTAACAGGAAGAATGATGCCCTTGTGTGACAGCAAGAGTGAGTGAGGGAGCTAAGCTCCAGCTTTTACCTGAATCAACCTTTTGCCACTCTCTTGTCCAGAGATGTTTAGGCACCTCCTGATATTGCAAAGTGATCACAGTGAGATGTAAAACTCGCTGAATAAGAGTAATAACATCAAGCTACACAAGGGCTCTTTTTTAAAAAGACAAATTCACATCCTGCCATATCCACCGGTCGTTTTCTCTGATAATAAGAAAAAATAACAATCTTCCATTAAGATTGCTTGTCCTGGAACAGGGCCAGCTGTTTCATATTTCCACTTCACTTGTACTCGCATACTTCTGCTTTCTGGGGTAGCTGCTTTCAACACCTCATGCGCTTTCTTAATTTTCAGTCTATCAACCAAGTTCATAGACAATAGCTTGGAGCTGATAAGTGAAAGCACTAAAGACAGCATGAACTATACCCTGCAAATGCTCCCAGCCCAGATGGCAAGCAAATCTTGAGAAGTCAAAATAATTTATTTGGGAGATTTTATTCAGCTGAGTTAAAAACAACAACACATAGGGATTTCTTGCTGATGCAAGACTCGCAACAAATCCAACTGCATTTCCTGATGCAGTTAAGGCACGCACCAAAAAGTGAGCCTTGGTCTTCTTATTTCTCCTCTCTTACTAGAGGCTGCATATCATTGTGGCCACTGATTTTGGATGAGGCACCTCTACACTGTCCTGCATTATCATTGTGGCCACTCTGATTTTGGATGAGGCACCTCTACACTGTGAGTTTGAGCTGCATCTAACCCAGTCTCCCAGGATCTTTAGCCAATTCAGTCTTCCCCTATCTGCACTTCTTTCCCCATTTACTTCACCTTGAGTGATCAGCTGGAACAATCTGCCTTTTCTGTTCTTTCTTGCAAGGCCAGTGCATTCTAGCTCTCTAGCTTTCATGTGTTTTATGATTTCTTGGTCTTTTTTTATTCTTGAGTGCTTCTTTGCTAGCCAGTCTGTTGAGCTGGAAAGTTCTCAGCATCCTACCTTAAATCTACTTTCCAAATATTTGTATCTTTTTGTAGTTGTCTGTGTGGAAAGTCACAGCCCCACGCCCAGCAGAAGAACCAAGGACATATATAGTGCCATACAATGTGTACTTTGAAAGCCAGTGTTAAAAGTTTTTTGTCACATGTTACCTTGCTCATCTTGAGGAAGCTGTTTTGGGTCATCTGTACTCTGACTTTAATTGCATGGCTTACTATCCCACTGTTCATTTAACCAAATTCCAACGTACATACGTTTGCCAATATACCCCACACTTTTATTTCAGATTTTATGTGCAATTTTTGACTGTACCTTTTATTGACTACCATCAACTTGGTTTTCGATATCCATATTTAGATAGTATGCATTGCTTATTTTACTTGACTTTTCCAGGTAACGTTTGCAGACCATCTAAATTGGCATCTAGCAATATTGTATTGTCTGCATATCAAGTGTTGACGATAATCTCTGTTGACAATAACATCATTTGAATCACCAAGTGCTTTGCTAAAGATGTCATCAGAGTACACTTTGAAAAGTAGTGATGAGACCACACATCTTTCTCATATTCCACTTCACATCTCTATGCCCTTCATCATCTCATCTTCATCTTTCACTACAGACTTTTGTTACCAATACAGTTTGCCAATTACATGAATATCTCTAGAATCAAGATAATTATTTAACAACAGTTTCAGTAGCTTGCCATACTGGACATTGTCAAAGTCTTTCTCCTGGTAACAAAGCAAATATATGTATCCATGTGCATATAACAGCATATCTCAAGTGTATATGGGCAGAGTAATACATCTCTGCTTCCAGTCTGACTCTGAATCCAAATTGTGTGTCCCCTCCCCTTCTTTGCACTCCTTTTAAATTCTGTGCCATATTAGGTATTTTTAAAAAGCATATAGCTTATTATACTTATGGTTCCAAAGCGACTATAAGCATTTTGTTCTTGGGATAATGTTATGCTAATCTCAACAAAATTTCAGGGGTAATTCTGGTTCTCTCGAGTCTAGATTTGATTGGGAAAAATCATTAAAACATCTGAGTTGGTTTTAGATGTTCTTTGTACTTCATCTTTATTTTTCTGTTTTTATTTGTCTTCCATTAGCTTAACATTTCTTCTGTCATACACTTCTTTTTTTAATTAACTTTTTTTTACTTTTGAGGTTGCTGTTTGTCATATTTACTGATATCTCTGTTAGTAAACATCTGCACCATCTGGGTATACAGTCTTATTCATACTTCCAAGAATCACCTTGGAGCAGCAAACCTGCTGAGGAAATGTATGCTGTGTATGCTTCGCAAAGCACAGTTACAAATATTTAATAAATGATTTTTTAAAATAAAAACCAAATGTTTACATATTTTCTCTTTCAAAGAGTGCCCAAATTTGGACAATGCTGTTTGAAATAATTTTTTCTGCACTCAGTGAGACCTACTTCAAGGAAATGTCCATACAGAAAAAGCAGTACTGTACTTCTGCATTTGTGGAGAACTGATCTGATTCTGCAACAAAAAGTAGATACAATTCTACAATGCTTTTAGCGCACTCTGCTGCTAGTTTTGAAATATAACACTCATTTTGGCTTGTTTGCCCCCTATGTCTTTTCACTAAATGGAGATTAACTATGTTTAGGCAAAATGTTATTAAAATGGATAAATTGAAATAAAAATGTAATATGTGATAAAAGTTGTGTTTGTTTAGCCGTGCTTCTCAGGGTGAGCAGTAGTGGTGGTCTCTGAACTCATAGTCAAACCTGAAAAATCACCTCCAGTCCTATGGGACTTGTTCATCCTTCTTTGGGGCTTATATCATGATATTGTCATTAAAAGAAATAATGCTGTTGAACTGGATATGAAGATGAACCATGCCAATTGTTAAACTTTTGATGGATTTTATTGGACTGCAAGTTTTCCCCCAGCAAACAACAACAGCACCAGTGAAGACAGGTTTTGTAACAACGTTTTACTGTATGCCAAAAACTGAAGTTTAGTTTTTGAGCAATTGCATGCAAATCAATAGATTATGAAGCGTCTGTGTACCAGTGAGCGAGTGGTACATAGATCAAAATAGGTCCTAGATCAAAGCAAGCCTGAACTATCTCTGGAGGAAAAGCCTCAGATGAAACTGAGGCTATCCTACTTTGGGCATCTCATGAAAAGGCAGGATTCTCTGGAAAAGGCAACAATGCTAGAAGCGATGGAAGGCAGCAGGAAAAGAGGAAGTCCAAATATGAGATGGACTGACTTCCTAAAAGAGCCCACAGGATTGAGGTTGCAAGAGCTGAGCAGGGTCACTGGGGGCAGGAAATGTTAGAGATTGTTCATTCAAAGGGTTGCCATAAATTGGAAGCGACTTGGAAGGGCACATCGCAACGAGGACGGCAACATGTACCAGTGAATACTGGATTTGACCTTTCCTGCAACTTAAGGGGTGTTTTGCATGGGAGATGTTCAGCTAGGAATCCAGAATCCAAAGCAGGCTCAGCTGCACATCTGTAATGTTGAAAGCGGACTACATGGCTGAGCGGTTGCAAGCCACTCTCCCAGCACAACTTTTCAGTCTCTCCGATAAGGGATATGGTAACCATGCGCCAGCTCGCTGGGGTGCTGTATCCCACTCCCTCAGCCCGATCTCCATCTGTAATGTCGGAGGGCGCTGGTTAACACCATGGAGGCGACACAGATTAACCTGGCTGTTCGATTGCTCTTCGATTCTATTGCACGCCTGCCGTCTGTAGCCTCGGTCTGATTCCCAACCTGAACTACGCAGACAACTACACACTGCATGGTTATTACAGGCGACTTCTAGCCACGGTTCCTTCCAGCTGGAAACCAGGGCTAATAATGGATTGCTCCGAAACAGAAACTTGCATTGCAGGTCCACTTTTGAAACGAACAAAAAAAAGGAAAGGAATAAACCACGGAAGATCAACATTAGAAAAATCATGAACTCTTTTATTTCCACCACGAAGAACATCAGCTCGCTTCTGCCTGGGAGGTCATTACAACATGGATTCTCCCAGAGACATCTTGCAAAAGTATCCTCTCTAGCCTTTTAAAACTCTATGGCCGGAAGTTTACGCAAGCACATCAACAGGGAGGGAGAGGGGGGGTCGCTGTTGTCGGCGCGTGCGCACACCGCTGCAAGGAGTCCCGTCTGGGTAAGTTTTCGCTGTTGTCATCCAGAGAGGGTCTCGTTCCCCCCCCTTTTGTGGAGGTGGAACTCGCCGGGTGGGGATGCTGAACAGGGTAAAGCGTAGGGGTGCGGGCGGGCTCACGTGGATAGGGGGGGAGTCCAGCCCATGGGGCGAATGAGGTGAGCCCAGTGAAATAAAAAGCCGTGCCTTTGTTTTCACTGTGCTTTGTCAGCGGTTCCTGCCGCAGCCTATACTTGTCATGCTGGATCAGAGCTAGATGTACCTATTTGCGAAGCAACAGCCCAGCGTTGGCTGCTTTGAAGCCAGAGCTCCCCCTTGGTTGGGATGGAGGGGCGGGGAGAGGGATTAGCTTGTGGCAGCACCAAAAACCACAAAGAGTCTCATGGTACGTTTGAAGATTAATGGGTTTCTCGTAGCAGGAAACTTCTGTGTGGGAAAGAAGTGGTTGTCAATCAGTTGTAGTCCCAGGAGCCACAGCTAGCATGGCTAGTGGTCAGGGAGGCTAGGAGGTGAAGTTTAAAAAAAAATCTGCCAGACAAAAGATTAAGAATCATTAGACTAGAGAAGCTCAGGTTGTTAGATGTGTGCAATGTTAGCTGGAGGGAAAAAATGTTGAAACTGAGGCTGTCCTGCTTTGATTGCATTATAAGAAGGCAGGATTCTCTGGAAAAAGTCAGTAACACTGGGAAAGGTGGAGGGCAGCAGGAAAAGAGGAAGACCAAATACAAGATAGATTAACTCCCTAAACGAAGCTATAGATTTGAGTCTGTAAGAGCTGAGCAGAGTTGTTAAGGACAGGACATTTTGGAGGTGCCTCATGCATAGGATCGCCATAAGTCAGAGGTGACTTGATGGCACGTAACAACAACAATGCTAGCCAACTGCAGCTACAGATTTTACAGAGGAGATCAATGTATGTAAATATCTTCCATCCAAAGTTGGATCTGTACATATAGTTGATGATGAAAAGTACTGTATACAGACCTAAGAAATTTTAGACTAGAGCAAGTGATGTTACCTTGCAAATGTGAAGCATCTACAGAAATTATGAGACAAGATACACAGCATAGTGGGCAAACTAGGAAAGCTGTACTAGTAAAATATGTAGAAAAACATCTTTTTGTATAAGCGTAAGTCCTATATATAAACAGCAATAGGTTACAGTTTCCAGACAGCAGCATATATTCTTAGATGAAAATAAATGTTTAGAGTTACACAATTTAAAAAAAACCCACTGTTTCTTCACTTGTCAGGTCAAACATGTTTAAAACTGTTTTGGGGAAATTATTTTTGGACTTCAACTCCCAGAATCCTCTAGCCAGCATGGGTGGTGGAGTGATTCACATTCTGGCAGCAGATTTACTGCTGTCCTAAAACAGGGGTCCCCAGTCCCCGGTCCGCAGCCTGGTGCCAGTCCATGGGCTTCCTGAAACTGGGCTGCGGAGACAGATCTCTGCCCCCCACCGCACGCACACATGGTGGGCAAGTTGTGCTTGTGGAGGGCTGTGTCGTGCTCACGGGTGGGCGTGTCATGTGAGTGCGCGAGCGTGCGACACACCCATCTGCGAGCATGGCACACTCCTCCACAAGTGCAACATGCACTGCAAGCGTGACACCCCCACCTGTAAGTGCAGGGGTGCCCCAGCCCCCCCGCGCACAGAGCTTGCACCCCCTCAACCAGTCCGCGGTCCCACAAAGGTTGGGGGCTGCAGTTCTAAAAGATGCTGCTCCATTCTGGTTCCACTTCCTGCTGCCTGTGGGCTCAATGGAGAGTTAGCTGCCCTTTTGGCTGTAGCTCTGATTGCTCCTCTGCTTCCTGCACCGCCTTTGTTTTTCCAGGTTTCAGGTTCTGGCCATGGAAGTCCCTGCACCCGAGGGGGAGAAGCCCCCACTGTCTGCGGCGATGAGGGCGAAGATTGAGCGGAATCGACAGCGGGCCCTGATGCTGAGGCAGGCAAGGCTGGCGGCCAGGCCCTACCCGGCTACTGGGGAAGGTTGGCTTCGCTCTGCAGTCTAGCCCGCGGGGCTGCATGACACTCTCAAGGCCCAGGTCCTATGGGTGGGGTGTGTGTGTGTCCCTGCATGAGAGAGGAAGTAGTTGGGATAACTTTTAAGGTGTTCTGCTCTAGGTTTGGTTACAAAGATTCTGTAGTTGGAATCAGTTGTGCATGTGGCTGTTGAATGGAATTTGGGAAAGAAATGGATACATAATTATGGAAGAGTTGCAGCTTCTTTTTCAAATCATGTGACACTGGGTTTAATTGTTTATTTAATTTATTTATTAGATTTATACCCCGCACCATCTGTCAGCCAAGCCACTCTGGGCGGCTAACAACAACAAGACAACTCAATATTAAAACACAATGAGAATAAAATAATAGAAACATTCAACAGATACAGTAACTAGTAGGATAAATTGAAACAGATGGCTATAAAGATGGTAGGATGATGAAGGCATGGTGAAAAGGATGATAAAAGGGAAGCAGAGATATCAGCAACTTAATGCTCAGGGAAAGCCTGACAGAAGAGCCAAGTTTTTAATGTTCATTTAAACCCGTCCAACGTAGGCAGATTGTTC